TACATTTCTATTATTTTTCATATTAATGAAAATCTATATATGGAGGTTTTCCATATTTTTGGAACCCTCCCACCTAATTATCTGATTTTGCTGCTTAATTAACAACCTACATCTACCTATATTTAATACTTTTCTGCTGTAGTGGTGGTGGAAGGCTAGGAAAAAGATATAGATTTTTTTCTTTGTAGTTTTTTATTGTTATCCCATTCTTTTGTTTAAACCCTCCAACTCGATATGTCCTGGAAGCAGGCATCCACACAGGGACTACACTATTGCAGCTCTCATCAGGTTTTCAATGAATAGAAAAGGTGGGGTAAAAACATAGACTCCGCAAGAATATATACAAGGAAACATAGGAATAAGTATATAGTAATTACCACTCTATAGATATAAAACTATATAAAAACCGATAAAATGCAAATATGAATAGAATTGTCAGAATTTCAGAGTTACATTTATTGAAAGAGTGATTTTTGAAAAAAAGGACATATTTTGGTTATGAAGGAAAAGGAAGTTTAAACTGTTATAAACATTAGTGTTGTATGTTAAGAGCAGCAATTTTGGAATCTAGTAATAAAAAGTCTGAACGAGGTAGTAATGAGAGATGTCACGGTATTAGATATGGGGCAAACAGGAAGGTAAGAAGAGCCTTGGAACATTACTTATGCATGTGGATTTGATATAATTAGTTGATGTAATTATATATAGTAATTAATTATTTAATTATTTATAAGTTTAGGTTTTTGAGCAAAAGAGGTACATAAAGAAAATCATAAAATGGTTTTTTTCAATGAAAAGACTAGATCAGTGTTTCTCAAATTGGGAGTGATTTTGCCCTTACCCCCACTCTGGGGGATATTTCACAGTATTAGGAGACATTTTTGGTTGTCACAACTGGGGAGACAGTGTGCTACAAATATGTAGTGGGATGAGGCCACTCATCCTGCATTGCACAGGACAGCCCTCTACAATAAAGAACCATCCAGCCCCAAATGTCAATTGCGCCAAGACTGAGAAATTCTGAGCTAGTTTAGGGCAGAGAAGTGCTTAAATTTAAGCAAAAGGTCTAAGAACTAAGTCAGAGGTCTCTAACTAGTCCCTTGTTTGACATGATCAATCTCTTCTTTCATTAAATTACCCACAAAGCTAATATGAAGAGTAAAGATATAATCAGTTGTGTCCAATTATAGTAATAATCCAAAATTAATTTTACATTCTGCTCTTAATAGACTTTGTGTTTCTAACCATCAACGTGGATGAATCTCAGAAACATATAACATTGGAAAACAAGTAAAAATAAACAATATATTATTTAGGGATCTATACATATAGTTATATGAGGAAAATTAAAGAATAGTAAAATTGATATCATTCAGGATTGTATTTATGTTTGCAAAGAAGGAGAATGGATTTGGAGAAAAGCACAGGGGCTCTTAAATTTATTGATTATATTTTGTTTTCGTTAGGTAGTAGGGTTTTGAGTAAAATTATTGTACTTTATAATTTACATAAATGTCATATTCTCTTGGTGTATCAAAAATCACATAATAAAAAAATCATAAAATTCAACTAAGAATAGTGGTTACTGAAGATTTTTCCTTTGAATCCTATCACCACCTGCAGGTTAAAATTAGGTAGTGCAAAAACTGTTTTCTTAAAGAACAAATTAATGAACATCAAGATAAACGAATTCTGCAAAGCATTCTGGATATAAAGAAGTACAAAAGGCAGGGTTTCTGCTCTAGCCATGCTTAAATTAAAGTCCATCTGTGGATAGAGTACACATGGAACACATAAAAGAGATAAACAATATAGCAGAAAATTTTGTATCGTAAGTGCCCTGTGTCAGTGTCATACTTAATATTAAATAACAGACACAAATGATATTTTTACACAGCATGACAAACTGATTTAGTTTACCATCAGAATCCAACTCCTTCATTCATTCTGCCACTACCTTAGGCCAGGCCTTAGTTACTTCACACCAGTTACCACCTGTTTTCCTTGTTTTTTCCATCTCTTCTGTTATCCCTAGTTGTTCTAAACATTGCTGCTGGATTAGCTTTTTTTTTTTAGATTAGAGTCTTAAAATAGCTCCTTCACTATATCATTGCCACCTCCCAAACCTCAATTGGTTTCACACTATCTACAGAACAAAACCCAAACTCTTTAGATCAATCTTTAAGATTTTCTACAATTTGGCCACAACTTGTTCATCGATCTTGCTTTCTTCTCCTGCCTTCCCACTCCCCACCCTATATGGATCCTCTACTTCATCCTGTCTGGTTTCTTCATTATCCGTTGCTTATTCTGAATGTATTATCTGTGTTCAAGGTGTGCACATTTTCCTTGAACATTATTTTTTCATTTAGGCTTCCTCCTCCATCTTTAATATATGTGTTGTTCTTAAATGTGGAAAACAGATGTAGTTTCAATGTGTATCTCTTAGGGGCCACTAATGTTCTCCACCTGCATTTCCACCAATTGCCCCCAATTTCATCCTACATAGAATCCCGAAACCATCATTATCTTTTGAGACAATTTAGCAATACTCTGTCCCTGAATTCCTAAAGCACTTATGGTCTGTATCATTTATTTGCCATTTTCATACACTACTGACACTAAACTGGTTCTAAGTTTGTTTTCTAAACTAGATGTTGTTTTTGGAAGTCCAGGATAATTTTGTAATTTTGGTTTTTTTTCCTTTCCTCTGTCTCCTGCTAAGATGTGTAATGCCCATATTTGAGTTTGAGGACTGCTTTTTTATGTAAAAATTTCTGACTCCTCCCTCCACCAAAGAGACAATAGTACTGACATTTTTCATGGTCCATAAATTCAAAAAACATAATAACCATATTGATTTCAGTAATGCTTTTGAATTAATCTGAACGGTTTTAATGACAATAGCTTCTACATACTTCAAAATAATTTTATATATGTATATGAAAGGAACCAAAGTTTTACCACACTCAAATTGCCTTTTGTGATATTGATTTTAGGTTATTAAGAAACAAAAGACTCAGAAAGAACCTTTGATCCTCCCCCTTAGCTGCCTAAAGGAATTCAGATTGAAAAAGCTGCTTAAAGGAAGGGAGGCTCAACTTAGCATCATAATATAAACTAAATGTGGCAGACTGGAAGAAAACTAGCAAAGCCTTTGTACTGAACTTCCTTCCGTGTACCATTCTGTGTGGCCCCGAAATAATTTATCACATATTTGCTCTATCTACCCATACACTTCTTGCTTTCCTTTTGAAATCCCAGACCTCTGCCTCCTTCTTCTTTGTCCTGAATGGCTTGTGAGTCTCAATTGCCCAACACTTCCTTGGGTTTTATATTATGATACTCTCATTATGATACCTCCCCGCATATACATCTGTAATAAATTTTGGACATTATCTCCTGTTAATTCATCACACGTTAATATGATTATTATCCCAGCTAGAAGAACTTAGAAGGTGGGAGAAATTATTTTTTGCATTCCCATATATAAAACAAAATGGTGATAATGATGATAATATTTCGGGGCCTTATCATATGCTCATACTTATTTAATTATAAAAAAAATTCCTCCACAGAGTTAGTAGACCTCAGTTTATCCTAGGCTCTACTACTTGGAGTCAGAGCTTCGTTGATTTATTTAACCGCCATTTGTAATGCAGAATCAATTTCTTCAGGATAGAGAATTGAGAAAACCACAACAGATGAAATGCTTAAGTTGGTGCCTTGTACAAAATATATACTACTAAAAAAAAAAATCCCTCCGAGGTAGGCAACATTATTATCCCTCTCCCATTTTATAGATGGTGCAATTGAGGCTTGAAAAGGTTAAATAACTCGCCCAAGATATTAAGAGCTACTGAGTGGTGAGATTAAAATGGGGTCTAGGGCATTCTGGACTACAATAAACACCTAATCTTTAGTGCTCTGAATTCTCATAGCACTTTCTTACAAACCACACTATTTCTCCATTCACTAAATATGATCTCTTCAATAGCAGGGAGTATGATTTTGTTACCTAAATAATTAGCAATACTAAACGCAAAGTACTAAAAAATGTATGACAAAAAAAGTGTCAAAGATCATTGCATTGACTGAATCTGGATATAGTTGCAAATTACAGTAGACTGGAAGAGCTTTATTTATCTAAATTACGTACTGACATGAGTTCTATTAATCGGTTTCATGAACAATTTGTTGGTGATTGAGAACAATTTGTTGTTGGAACTCAGATGTCATTTCCCCTACCTTATTATACTTAAAACAAATTTTGTAGCCACAACTACAAACTGTCTAAAAATAGAACGCCCTTGCACGGAAGTAAAATTGACCGATGTTTTCACTTTTCAGGTAGGCACACTGAAAGCATTATCTTTTTGTCGCATTTTTTTCTTTGGTTTGTTTTACCACCCTGTCAATTTACTAAACTTGAAAAACTGCTGCTGAGAAGAGCGTAAAGAACAGTTTTAGAGAAAATTTCTTGATATTAAATTCTGAGGTAAATCACCTGGTTCTTCTAAGGAAAAAGTAGGACATGAATCCAAGATGACATTTATCATTCTCCCACTAACTATATAACTTTCGGCCAATTAAATCCCGTGGATTTATCTCCTCACGTGCAAACCTATAGCTAGATTTTAAAGGCCCTTTGTTTCCATCCCTTCGTGACCAGGAGATGTGGGTGAGGAGTGACTCGAAGAGTGATCCCTGGCTTAGGTTAACTCTCCTCCTTCCGGCATCGTCCGAAGCCGACACCCCCACAGAATAAAAGAACGCGCCTCCGCAGTTTTAGTAGCCGCCAAGGTTGGGGGGACAGGAATGTCAACCCACTTCCGCACAGGCCTCAAGCCTCCCACGAGCAGCGCCGGACAGTGCACAGCATGCTGGGATTTGTATTCATTCCCCTTGTCGCGGGGTTGGGGTGGGGGGTGGCGGGGGCGAGTTGGAATTCTGGGATATGTAGTCTCTGGTCATTCGTTGGTGTAATCGGCCTCCGGCTGAAGAGCCAGAGCTGATACCACAGACTTCGACGAGTCACATGATTCCAGTCTAGATCCTCGATCGCACTGCGGCTCCCGCCCGGGAGAGTTCTCGCTTGCGCGCCGCCGTTGCTGAGGAGACGGCGCACGTCTCCCCGCGCGTTGCCCCCTCTGCAGTTCCCCCCGCCCCTCCTCTCCCACCACAATGAGATCCTAAGATGGCGGTGGCTGCGGCGGTTGGGGCTGACTAGCCAAGGTAGAGAAGGCGGCCATTGGGCCCTAGGCAGCCAGGGAACTTGTGGACGCTCCCTGCTGCGGTCTCTAAGGAAAGCTGCTGTCGGTGTCTGGTTGTGGGGGCTGACCGCTACTCCGCCCTTGGAGGAGCGGCTGCTTCGTTTACAGGTAATTCCTGCGCGTCCTCAGCCCTTGGCAACCGAGGGCAGCGCGGTGCGCAGGGGCGGGAGAGCAACGGCTCTGGGACACTTGACCGTGGAGGGCCTGGCCTCCGGCCCGCGCCTCTCTGTGGGCCCTCGGGTCTTCTTGCTGTCTGCTTCACGTCTGCGAGGCAGACAGTCCGCCCCCTCCCGCGGACTGACCGACGTGGTTTCCGGGTGAGCATCTAGGCACCCGTCAGCGACTGCAGATCCCCCTTCTTGCTTCCCCTCCTTTTTTCTGGCCCTGAGGAGGAGGCCGCCCTGCATCCCGGGTGCTCCAGGAATGTCCCTTGTGAGTGGAGGAAGCGGAGCGGGGGCTGTGGTTTGGTTGCCGGAGGCAGGGGGTTTAGTTTTCCATAGCAAGGGGCCTTAGTAGTCATAGTCTCCGTCATGGCGCCCCTTCTCCCCACCCCAAATTCCACTCTGTGAGGCTCCCGTCCAGAATTTCGGGTGGAGAAGGGCGGGTGAGGAGCGACGCGACTTTTCGGGCTGGGCTGTAAGCACCAGGATATCTGCTGTCTCGGGTATTCTTAGAGCAGAAGGGCCGCGGAAGGCGTTCCTGACTTTGGCTAAGAGGTGCTTTATATTTGCGAGTGGAATGTTAATTTAATACCTCTCAGCTCCCCGCTCCCTTTGCTCCCCTTCTCCATCCTTTACTGCACGTCCAGTTGGAATGGGCCTACATAGGGAAAACAAAACGCCAAATGGAATTTGGGAAACGTTGTTTGCTTTGCAGAAACTGGTGTTTGGGGATTAGGTCTAGACCCCGCTAGGGAGGCGGGCCCTCCAAACTTTTTCATCCGGCGGTCCACTCCCCGGGACCTATTCTTGTCTGCGAAAAATTTTTTTTTTTTTGGACTAGTTTGAGGTCTGTGTCGTATTTCTTATGGATGACGGATCGTGTTTTCGCGCTGAAAGAAGCGGGCTTTCTGGGCGCCCCATCTACCCCCCGCCCCATAACTGCTTTCCAGACTCCGCCTACTGGTATTCTCTAGTTACCCGCGCGCGTGTTGTAGCTCTGGGTG